GGGGGGGGGCAGGGAGTGGCACACTGGGGTAATTTTTCTTTTTTGAAAAAGGCCCAAGCATTGAATTGGTGCCTTCAACTCATAAAACTGAAAACTAAATATGGACTTATCTACCCAGTTCAACACAAGGTAAGAAATGCTAATATATTTGCTTGCTTGTAAAAAAAAATAAGCAAATGGTCTTTAAAAGAAACATTTCATTAAGACTAGTTTAATGAGCTCAGTTATCCGTACAGTACAGAGGCAGAAGTTTTTAATTAACTTCTGTTTAGCTCTCCAATAGTTAGAACTTACATTTGTATCAAAAGTCCAGTTTATACAATAAAAATTATACTACTTTTCTCCCTGAACTTTGTAGCAGAGATGTTTGAGCTTTTGTACACATCTATGAAATAAGCAGAGGACAATGTTTTTAATACAAAATTTATAACTGAGAAAACAAAAAAACCCTGTACTTCACTGCAGTGATAATCAGAGCCTGTGTCATATCTACTTTGGCTGTAATCCTACTAATTACATAACTGCATATGTAAGTGCAGAAATAATCCCACTGAACTCAAACGTTGGTGAGACAAACTTCAATTTTTAGACCATAACATATCATTAAAAACCTATGTCTTTACAACAGTAAATTTACGTAAACACAAATTCTTAAAATTCACTAGTATTTTTAAAACCAGTCCCTATAATAACAAACTAAAATAATAATATACCATTATCAGTTCCACACTTCAATATATAAAGGAGTCATATAGCTATATAGATATTCTTAAAGAGACATATAGGGTATGAGTGTGGGTAGATTTCCATATATACAGAAAGCTATCTATATATGTATATATGATAATGGAATATTAGATATGTATCGCGCTCTGTCATGTATCACATTAGCAAAATTTATTTTTGTTCAACATGTTCCAGAACCATTGAAAAAATTTTTTCCAAAAAGGCAACTGAAAAAAAAAAATACATCAATGCAGGAATATGAAAAATACATGCATCTTTCTCTACACTAAAAAAAAAAAAGCATCTAAAAGGAGAGACCTCATTTTGGGGGTAATACTGGAGAGTCATGCAAGTACTTCGTTATTGTGAAACATTATTAAAAGTAATGAGCAAAAAATGTTTACAAGCAAAAAATTTATATTGCAAGATGCAACAAAAGAGTTTTAATCTCCTCAAAGACAGAAATCTCTCATACTAAAAAAGCCCAACCAAGCCCAGAAGCTACATGTGAGCTCCCTGTGCTTGCACAGCATACAGAAGTCATGTATACTTCTAGGTATTTGCTGGTATTTAGATAGGTAGCAATGCCCATCACACTCAAGCTATTTCCAGAACAGATCTGAAAAGTCTCTAACTTCAATATACAAAGACAAGGAGGGACTGAGAAATGATACAGCACTTTTTGTAGGAGTTAAATTCCAGAGGCTGCATCTTCATGCCCCTGTACTCGGCACTGGTGAGGCCACAGCTTGAATCCCGTGTTCAGTTTTGGGCCCCTCACTACAAGAAGGACATTGAGGTGCTGGAGCGTGTCCAGAGAAGGGCAACGAAGCTGGTGAGGGGTCTGGAGCACAAGTCTTATGAGGAGTGGCTGAGGGAACTGGGGTTGTTTAGTCTGGAGAAGAGGAGGCTGAGGGGAGACCTTATCACTCTCTACAACTACCTGAAAGGGGGTTGTGGCGATGAGGGTGTTGGTCTCTTCTCCCAAGTAACTAGTGATAGAACAAGAAGAAATGGCCTCAAGTTGCGCCAGGGGAGGTTTAGATTGGATATTAGGAAAATTTTTTTTACCGAGAGAGTGGTCAGGCATTGGAACAGGCTGCCCAAGGAGGTGGTGGAGTTGCCATCTCTGGAAGCGTTCAAAAAATGTGTGGATGTGGCACTTCAGGACATGGTCTAGGGGACATGGTGGTGCTGGATTAATGGTTGGACTTGATGATCTTGAAGGTCCTTTCCAACCTAGTGATTCTGTGATTCAGCCACCACCTGCTGGCACAGCTCCGCTCTAACCAGTGAAACTACTCCAATTTACAAAGGCAGAGAAACAATGTCCCTCCATTTCATTTTAAAACCTGATGGAAATACGGTATTTCTTTAAAAGGCTAGCTTCCAACTACCTCGCTTTGGCTATTCCACTGAATGTTTCCTCAAAGTCTGTACACATCAACTGTCAAGTGTGATATTCAACGCAAAACTGAATACAACTCTTTCTTTCTAAGTTCCCAATCCTAGAAGCATGTTGTTCTCTTCCCACTTCACCGAGATGCCACATCATCATCATGGCATGGTATCAAGAAACCCCTGTACAATATACAGCCAAGGATATCTTAGAGTTTATTTTGCTTGTGTTGCTTGCAAAGCTTTCTTTTTCTTAAGTTAGAAAATAATTTAATGAAGAATTGAATTCATCAACGGCATATTAATTGGATGAGGCAAAATATATTAGTGAAAGCACAAATAACCAAACAAAAATACAATTTTATGCTTAAATAATAGTCAACACACAATGGAAAAACCTGCAATTTGTATGTTGACTGCAGAGCAAAAAGCATGAAACCGTTATTGAGGATACAGGAGTTTAAAAACAGAAGGAACAGGCGCTCATTAAGAACAACTGTTTTTAACTAATTCATTGTAGCAGAACCACATGAGTTCATACTTCCCTACTCTTCAGGTTTTCACTAAACTGGGCTGTATAAAGTAGAAGTTATACAAGGAAAATCCCCTACTTGTTATAAGAAAAGAATTGTATTTTCCTTACTATAGCACATGGGTATTGGTCTTATACCAGCATATTTAAGAACTACATCTATTTCAATAAAAAAGAATAGTTAATTGATCAAATTAAGCTGTTGAAATATCCAGCACAAAGATGTGATAGCAGATCTTAATTTTTAAAACCTATGCAAACTCCTTAATGTCACTTTCATTCTCTTCCTCAGACAACCTTTCATTTAATCTGTATTAAGACTGAAAATCTTCTGGATCACTTACAAAAATCTGAAAAATCTTTTTTTGCTTCTTGTACAAACTGACACTCCAAAAATATACTGCTTTCAGTTTCCTACTAGATTTCTTGAGATTAAGTCATCACACACTGAAGAAAAAAAGGTGTTTCTTTAATTTCAGGACTGAAAAGTTTCACTGAATGGGCTTTAGCCAAGAATCTTGCCTTCCATAGTTCTTGTTTTAGCAGGTAATTACAATATCAATATTGCAATCAGGAGTTGAAATTAAATCTGCAACTTCAGAGAAATTTACAGATAAAAAGGAAATTTCTAGCCGTGTGCTGAAATGCTTCTCTGCCCACTCAGGGGAAGTGTTGAACACGTATTCATAGGGAAATTAAAATCATGATGTGTGATCTTTAAATTAAAAAATTAAAGACTACAGAAATGTAATTACACTAAGAATTTATGACTCATCTTTAAAATGCAAAACATTCTGAATTAAAATGAAAGACCAAGGCATTTACTTCATTCCCTTCCAAGAGAATCTGATCTTACTTAAGTAAAGACAACTCAATCAAAATATGCAAGTAATTTTTCCTCTTGGATAATATTCCTTTTCAGATACACTGTAAATGAGATAACTAAAAAATCAGACACTCAAACACATGACACAACTATTTTATGTACAGGAAAGCTCCCCAAACTTCACGTTCAACAAGAAAAAATACTGCAGAAGTAATGTGTTTTAAGCAATTTGTATTTTCCTTTGTCTACAGGTCTTAGTTCTAACTTTCCAGCTTCCTGTAGTCAGAAGTACTAATGAACGCACCTGCAGGCAACATTCTGCCTGCTACTCCTAGATGCCAGGCCTCTGTTCTGTAGGGTCTTCAGTCATATTTAGATAAAAATTTCCATTAAAAGAATTAAGACCGATGGCACACAACATGGGAAGAGAGATTCAGATCTTGAAGTCAACTAGATGAAAATTATGACAAGTACTTTCAAGATCCACTGAAGGAAAAAAAAAAAATATACATATGTGTGTGTGTGTGTGTGTGTGTGTAAAGATTTAATTCTTCCCTCATGATCCAGAAAAATACATTACGGGCTAAAGAAGTCGAGAGTACTCTATCAAATTGATTCATTTGCTAGCATAGCACATTTTGCCAAAAATTTACATCTCGATGATTCTAAACCATTTCAGATTCACCGCCCTTGTTGAAATGTAAAATTCATGCCTATGTTTGGGTAGAAGCCCAATAACCAATGATTTCCAGCAAATTTTAAAAGGTCATCAATGCACAATGGCGAAGTGCTAATACTATAAAGCTTTATATCAAAACTATCTCTCTTTGACTTTTTAAATTGCTGTTGATGCTTGCTTTGGAGTAATTCAAAATAAAATACAGTTTATATTTGTTGAAAACAACTGAACCAAATAGTTCCAAGAGCATACATTCTCACGTAAGTGCTGCAGTTCAGTTATATGTTCAACAAGGGGTTCAAAAAAAAAAAACCAAAACCAACCAAACCAATAGAGAACATGATCATGAAGGAAGTAAGAGTACTTCACACAGCTGTGACATTTTGATGCACTACACAGCAGCAGAGGTACTACCCAAGTCTTCCTGATCAACAGTTGACAGCAACAGCCGTTACAATCAAAGGAATAAAATAAATAAAATAAATAAAAGCGGGATATGCTTTTCAGAAACTCTCATGGGTGGTGTTGGAAGGAATAAATATATATATATATTTATCTTTAACATCCTGTCTCAAAAAGTTATATATTATTTGCATGAACCTAAGTAGGCACCAGTCTATTTCATCTAGAATGATCTGAGGAAAAATTAAAAGCTCACAGATATTAAGACATGAAAAATGCCAGTAAGAATTACTTGGCATTGGTATGTGAAATTCTCCTTCACTTAAAAAGTTTCGTCATCTAATTTAAAAGCTTTTTGGAATTATATCCTCCCCTAACCACAATCTGATGAAAAATGCAAATGATCATGCCAGATAACATCATTAAAAAATTTTGGACTTGAAATCCAATTGAACAGAGGAATGCAATAAAGCTATCAGAAATCAGCAAATGCTTCAGAGGTTCAATAGATATAATTAGTAAATATAGCATGGGGAGAAAAGAAAAAAAATGTGGCTTCAGAATGGGACCAGAGCAAGTCTTCCAAGTAACTGCCGAAGCAGCCCACTTCTTCTAAAGGCACTAACAAAATTCCCAAACCTATTTAAAATAAACACAGCTTAAATTCCTTGATCTCGCTAACCATAGGTTTACAGGCAGTTCCTCTAATATTGAATCACATACAGCATCTCAGTTTCTGCACAGAGGCTTCTTTTGGCTCACTACAAAATATTTTACAGGATAGAGTAGATTCTGATTTACCACTGATTTTTAGAAATTTCTCTTTTGTACACAATATTCCAGCTGAAATGTAAGTTTTTGACTGGTAAGGCCAAAAAGATGGAAGTAGATAAGAAGCCTTCCTAATTCAATTTTACCCAACAGCTGTGTTTTTCCTATTGTTTAGTAAATAACATTTGCCAACTTACAAAGCATGAAATTCTACATACTTGAAGCAGAAGAAAGCCACCACCTACTGCAGTTGCTGCAAGCTTTCCGACTTTCTGGAACAAAAATCCCGCACACCTTAGGAGAACAAAACAAAAAAACCCAGTCCAGTGAAGTTGTCTGCTGAACAATGCCACACTCAAAAATTCCCAACTACAACTATTACTATTTTTTTTTCATTTAACAAAGCAAATGTATCATTTCACATTTTTTAATTTTTAAATAAAAATATTTAATACAAACAATATTTAATTAATTATGTCTAACACAAGACAACATGAGTAATGGTTGCTCGTTCATGGCTGTCTGATGGTCCCCTTAAAGTAAGCTTGAGATCCCCAGGCCTTGTCTATACACAAAAGCTGTATACTGCTATTAAATGTAGAATGTTAATACAGCACAATGTAAATATAAAAGTGCCATTACAACTGCTCCCAAATGGAAGATCAATATGTTATACCATCTTAACTATATAAACTATATAAAACATATACCATATTAACTACACAACCCATAACTTAAGTATCTCAGGTAAAAAGATGTTACTTCCCTACCACAGGAGTTAAAATCAGCGGGGAGCCTCTACTGGGACATGGCCTTAGTCTATTTTTAATGGATCAGGACAACCAGAAAATTAATTATCTTGCTCACAGTCATCAAACAGTCCCACATCAAATAGAGAACAGCACAGATATTGATATCATAGAATAGTTCGGGCAGGAAGGGACCTCTGGAGGTCATCTGGTCCAGCTACCCTCCCAGAACTGGGCCAGCTGCAAAGTCTGACTCAACCTCCAAGCTAAATCAGGTTGCTCAGGGTTCTACTCAGGCAGGTGTTGAACGTTTCCAAGGCTGATGGTTCCGTAATTTCTCTGGGCAACTCTGCTGGTGTCTGACCCGCCCCCCACCAGCCCACACACAGAGGGGAATTTTTTTTCCCCCCTGCATATGAATAGTGAGTTTGTGTATTTGTATACATAAATATGCACATGGAGGTATATACATCTACAGATACTGAAATACACAGTTTCCAGATCTTTCAATAAGCCAGTTTTTATGGATGCCAGGTGAACTATTCCCTAGAAGCTTCAGAGCTTATGTATACACATCTAACTTTTGAAAATTATTTTAAGGTTATAGAGGCAAATAAAAAAAAAAAAAACACAGACTGAAAGATAAGCCTACACTCCTCAAACCTGTACTGAGCCTGAACATGACAATTTCATTTCTAGTCTACTTCATCTTCCAAATCTTGCATAATTCTGTTTTAAAAGTTACTGTGCTACCATAATGTTATTTTTCACTGAACTTTGATAAATAACAAATATCTTAACACAGCTGCTAAGGCTGTGGTCATGTTTTCCAGTTTAAGTTCTCACCTTTACTGTCTAGCTTTCACCATGAATTATTTTAGCATAACTATGCTGTAATACGTCTCTTCAGTTAACATGAGAGCAAACTGATAATTTGTTCAAAATGGTTTCAGTTGAACTTAGAGGGGAAAAAAGTCTCTATGAAATGGGGCTCTTGATAGTATATTCTGCCACACATTTTTCTTCTTCATTTCTTTTACCTATAACATATGTCTTAGCCATAATACCATAACTAGGTTTCTAAATCTATACTCATAAGAAAATAAGCTTTTCCATACAAACAAAAGTTATATGCAGTAATTTTCCATTTATTCCTTGTACTTTTAGACCTCTGACACTTCCCCAAATCTTTTTCACAGTAACTGGTACAAGTTCCCTTAGCTAACTGGTGTTTTACCAATACTGCAAAACACTTAAGAATGATGAGTCAGAGTAATGAGTTAAGAAACTGTTCACACATGAATAATCTTGATCAATGGTAAAGAAAATCCTGTCAGAGAAGATGCATTTATCTGCTTGGAATATCCTTGGAAGGGGATCTTCTAACTCAGTACAAGGTCTAGAAGAGTTATGAGAAGTGATTCTCCCTCACCAGCCAGTCACGCCGCCCATCACAATCTGGGTAGCTACAGAGTATTTTTCTACAATTGGTCCTGAATTCCGGCCAAACACACGATTCCACCAATGGTGACGCCGTGCGTATTCTGTTAAATCCAATACTTCATAGGAATCATCATCACTTTCGTGCTCTTAAAAAGAAAAAAAAAAAAAGAAAAAAGTTATTTTTCTCAGTTATACAGTGAATTAACAGTCTATGTAAATATCCCAAACATTAACGGAACCGTTTTCGGTATTAACTGGCTAATCCAATGGTTTAAATTGCAGCATACAGGTTACCTATGGTCTGGCAGCTCACAGAACAAAGGATTTTGAGATTTTCTGCTATAATCTTCAAGGTAAGGAAAAGAAGACTGTGGGGAAGGGATCATCTATAAAATCCATGACTGGCACAGAAAAGGTGAACAGGAATCTCCTACCTGTTCAAGTACAGTAACCAAGAGGTATCAGATGAAACTATCAGGAAGCTGGTTCAACACAAAAAAAGGAAGCCTTCCTCTCTCCTCTTCACCCCCCACCACCCGGAAGGCCCGGTTAACCTGTGGAACAGCTCACTGCAGGATGCTGTAGGTACCAAAAGCTGATGTGGACTCCAAATAACAACATAACAAATTAAACGTGGGGGAAAAAAAATTAAAATCCACCAAGGGCTGTCAAGACACAAAGGCAACAAAGACATTGTCGTTGTGTCATGCTTACCCTGTAAAATCTTTCTTAGCTCATCCTGCAGCTGATGGCTTCCAGGATGCTGGGCTTCATCTGACCTACTAGAATTGCTTTTATGATCTTAAGCAATGTGATACATGTCTAACTTAAGAGAAAGCACGCACATCTCTTCTGGATAGACCAGACTTTGAAAGATTGAGACCTTCTGGCCTAATGTTTTCCACAGAGGGCTAGATGTTAGCATATGCTAATAAGCCAAGAACAGACACTTCTGTTCCTTTTCCACAGCAGATGAAACATATGAAGCTGGAACTTCAATTAAGTTCCATACTTGCAGTACAATTCTGTCAACATTTTCAAAATAGAAGTCCCACAACTTCAAATCAGAGATCCTAAATACAACATATACTCAAATATCAAAAGGAAGTGATGCTTTCAATTTTTTAAAGAAAAATATTTTAAAAGCTTATCATAGTTCTATGGACATACAGACATTAATTAGTCTGCTTCGGTTAAATATATTTAAGATGAAATATAAGTTCAGTAATGATGCTAGGACATTCCAGAGAAGAAAAGTTCAATTTTTGCAAAGAACTGCAAAGAAAGACTGTAGTTATAAACATTCTATTAAGAATGTCAGCAACCTTTTTTTAAGTCTTACTACAAGTATGGGTAAAAAGTTAGAAAATGCAAGAAACACACCTGCAGGTATGAATTCTTTGCCTTTATTATCACCTAAATGTTCTTGAGTACTAAAACATAAATAGCTAGAGCCAAAATGCTAAGTTGTTATTGACTCTTCTTTCTTTCCAACTTTGAGGTATTGAGTGCAAACCGTTTAACTTCTTTCAATAGAGAATATAAAAACCCCATCATAGACTGTTAGTGCCATTAATTCTGTCCCTAAATTAATATTGTTCAAATCAAAACTCACACAAGTACAACACATTGCATGGAAAATAATCATGCTAGAACTTCTTCTATTGATAAAAAACATATTCCTTTCCTTGCAGGATAGCATTATGCATACTTTTAACGCAGGTAAAATTGTGCTCATGTAAAAAGGCGTTACACCATAAGGTTATACCGACAGACTCCAAGATCTGCACGTTAGAAGACGTGGAGAGGACGGAGGCTAGGGAAACCGCTCCCAGTTTCCCCAGCGGGCCCTGCAGGCTCAGCCCCGCCGACGCCAGAGCCCGGCACCTACGACT